GGGGGGGGGGCAGCAATCGAGCCACCCGACGCAATCGGACGACAAAGTAAAAGAGAAATTTGTAGAGTGTCGTGTAAGTACATGAAACAAGAGGAACGAAAAGAATGTTCAAACAATATACACACGTTTACTTCACAACACCAACAATCGTTTTCCACAAGGATGCGCTAAAGTAATATAGTTACGATTAACCAACGTCATCACGTATGTAAATATATATATATACTCGTTCAAGATTACAAAAAGGAAAAAAAAAAGGGGGAATAACTTGACTCCTGGTCAATCGAGACATAATAAAACAGAAAATAATGATAATAATAATAATGATAATAATGATGATGATGATGATAATAATAATAATACTGAGAGAAGCAAAGTAATAACTCTCGTGTGTACGCACTGTTACAAATGCCTGCGTACAATAAATCACGTTTACACGTACACATAGATATGTATAGATATATATATATATATATAAAGTTAATATTGCGATCGCAGCGGGCTCGATTTCGTACTCACCAACGCACGGATTGTGATTCACCATCGAGAAAATTCTGTCGCAGCGTCTTTTCATGTGGTTGTTCGGACAGATGCAGCCGAACATCGGCGACAGTCGTAGCTGCGTCCAAGAATCGTGACAGGCGTTCCTGGAACACGGGAAAACAGGCGAGAACTTTTATTATTAAGTGATATGAATTTTTATACTTGATATAGACCATGAGAAAATTATTAATATTCCATCCAGTATTATTCTTACATGAGACTATAAATGAGCGCGTAACCGTCCTGACCTACTGAATCAAATTCAAATTTGATGTCCCTCGAAAGATACAAGAAAAAGATCTCCATTTCATTCTACGACATCCGTCAAATGGAATTATTCGAGCGAAGCTAGTCAATTTTATATTTCAAAGTCCTTTTCCACGTATACTGTTCCATGCAAATTTTTTGAACATTTACAGAATGATGAGATAAAGGGAACTGTTTCTTCTTGACAGTTTCTCGAAATTCAGCGACTCCTTTTAAGAGATTAAATCGAGTACTGTAATCTCATTCTTTGCTTTTCAGTTTTCTTGTATTATCAATATTAACTTGCATAATGCGAGATGTGTTGTCATTATTTATCATACTGTCAACCTGAGAGTCGTTGTTACGAAGGAAACCTTAGGCTGTTAATTCTCTGGGGAGAATGCGGAGTCTCAAAGAAAATCACGAAAATAATGGCCGAACTTTCGAAAACGAAAGCAAAAGGAGGATACGAGTCGATGAAGGGTAAAGGAGGAGTAAAGTCTGCTAACTGTTCTGGGGTAAACGCGTTCAAGTTCGAAAGTCAATTTCCAGGGCTCGCGTAAAGTTTCGTATGTTACCGTCTGATGGCCGAAAAAAAGAAGAGACCCAGCTCGTTTTAGTGTTCGATCGCTTTTCAAACGAATCGTATGGCCGGTGGAACTGTATTTTATTTGTGATTTGTAACTGCGACAAGCGTGATAAGCACAAGGAATTTCTAAATATTATATAACGTTGCGCAAGAAATATTTTAAAACTTCATCAATGAAAGGTGATCACTGCTATTACTTGATAATAAATTTAAAAATATAAAAAATGCAAGACACTTGTCTGTCAAGGATAGACTATATCGGGCAAAAAATTAACGTGCTACGTCAATGGCCGTATTGAACGTGTGATAAATGTATGAAGGTACATATAATTAACGCCAGATATAATGTATGGCGCCAGTGAATATTCAAGCTCACTAACGTAATGAATAATTGAACGTTCAAGTATTTTCGTCTCGATCTCTATGAAATATTCGTACGAATTAAATGTTATTTCAAACTTACCAGATATAATCGTACAATTTCTTACCTCTTAACGAGATGTAAAAATATTTCCTACTAGACACGTAATATATATTTGTATATCAAATTGCCACAGGTGTTCGAATACTTTCGTGAACAATTGTGTTTCGTGCGTACGCGTGAAAGTGGAAGTATTTCAAAACGCCATATACGGGATAATATTTTGGAGGAAAGTTGGAAAAGCAACGGCGGAACGGAGCGAACGTTTTCGAGCGATAATACCGCTTACGCGAACTGCATAACAAATTAATCAAGCATTAGTTGGCGAGCGAGGCAGTTTTGTAATTATGGAAACGGCCGGTAGTTTTGGACAAAACAGGTGAAAACGCCCAGGCCTGGGTTTAATCACCGGATAATTTCCCTTCGTCCATTAACAACAATTGCCAATAACGCGATGTTTACCGATGGAAATCAAATCGAATGTCATTAATTGCGCCCTTAAATCCCCGGTCGATCGAAAAGGCCTTAAAGCCTGGGTGTCGTCCGGCCTGCGCGTGCCTCCTGCTCTTTCGCCTGCGAACGAGTTTAATTAAAACATTGTTATTGCTTGCCATTAAAAAAAAAAAAAAAAAAAGAAAAAAGAAAAAGCAATGAATGAAAGAAGAAACCGCTTAACACTTTCCGCCCGATAATCTCCGCGTACGGCGTACGTCGTTCCGTTTAATCGTGGTTAACTGCTTAATTGAAATTCGAAAAGTCTGGCAGGATCTTTCCCGCGCGATAGGAAATAGAAACTGCGAGTGATATCGCGACTCGCGCGACGCATTCAATTACCGCTGCAACTTGGCAAATTTAAATTGGCTGAGAAACGAACGACCACAGATCAACTGATAGTCACAAAAGTTTATATATATAGAGCTATTTCTCCAGAAATTGCGTCTTCAACTAACGCTTAAAATAATCGTTCTTCATTAAATATATATATCATTAAATATATATATCTGCGAAATTGAGATATTTAAAGAAGAACGATTATTTTAAGCGTTAATTGAGGACGCACAGTTTCTGGAAAAATAGCACTTTTTTTGTTTGTTTGCTTATAGATAGGTCGAGCAGCAAAAATGTCACGAAATCTAGCACATCCTGTTATTATTACAATTATAGTAGTTTATTCCTGTGTTCTTTCAAACAAATGTACATTTTACGAATGGTCTAATTTTAAGAGACCAATTAAATGTCAAAAGTTACACAGTTTCTGGAAAAATGGCACTTCTTTTGTTTGTTTGCTTGTAGATAAATCGAGAAGCAAAAATGTTATGAAATCTACTATACGTAATGACGAGTTACATCGAATCGAGCATAAATCGGAGAGTTGATTACCTCATCTATTACTTTGCCCGAAATTATAAAAGATCGATCTGTAAAAAAAAATTCGTCGTCACATAAAAGATAGTAAAATAACTTTGACAGACGATAACTTTATCCTCGATCATTTCATTTCAATATCACGCGATAACCATAAAAATTACGCACTTAGATATGTTTCGACCACTCTAGTATTTTTTAATGTTAAACTTGATCATTCCGGTGTTAAAAAAAAAAATAAAGAATTATTACTAAATATGTCTTTCTTCTCGTTCCGTGGATTAAAAGTATTCGCCGTTTGTCTCATAGAAGAACGAATGGTTTAGCTGCACGGTAAGAAAAAGGAAAGGTCAAAGGAGACTGGAAGAGAGCGGAAATTTGAGAGAGATGTTTCTTCTCTTTCTCTCTCTCTCTTTTTCTCTCTCTCTCTCTCTCTCTCCGAGAATTATTTGGGTTAATGGCACACGCGGTAGAATGGCTCTCGGTTCTAGACGAATTAAAGAGGAAACGAAGCAAAAAGGAAATACGAAACCGAAAGCGAAATAAAAATGGCACGGCGAGCAACTTCGAGGATGGATTCTTCAGCTAAAGAACGGAACAATTCGAACGAGATGAATCAAGCTTTTCCTACGGCTCTGTTTTTTCTTCGTTGCGAAAACACGTACGTATATCTATTTTATCGAGAATATCGTGAAACTTTTTGCTACGTCATCTCCTCGAAACAAATTGTATTTAAATACATGGGAATCTAGTATATTCGTACGTGCTTATTCCCTCCTTCTCTTTTAAATAACATGCACCTACGTATTCATTACAACTCTATTAACAAAGCTAAAAGTAAATCTTTTAACTGATTTCTATGCTTTCTATTCTACGAATATTTCACAATTCCTTGATTCCACATCGCTTGAAGTATATCGGCATTATTATATTACCAGTGGAACTTCATTTATCTGACTTTGCCGAGGAAGTTCATCAATTTTACCGACTACGTATTTTTCGTTCACGCAGACACAACAGAAGAAGCAACAGTGGATTCAACGAGCGGGAGTTCAGCTAACCGAGAATTAACTAAAATTACATTCTACAGCAGTAAATGGATGGAATTAATGGAACCTTCGTGGCACAGGTGCTTTCCAAAGCATAAAATAAATCGAAAGGGTAGG